AAGTTATTCTTGTTTAAAGTTATAAAAAAATTTTATTATAAAAAATTTGCTTGATTTCTATTAACTCACCCCTATATGTAAATTGCATTTGGGTTGTTTAATGATTATCTATTTGTTTTTACAGAAAGTGTATTACATGGGTATAAACCCATTTTATGATTGGCCAGCTACCTTATAATAAGACCCGTGCATTTCCGAAAAATGAAAAAATCTCCCATACTATGCATCTAAAATTTTTTTTGATGCTAGGTTAATTATTTTGTAGAGCTTGTTAAAATGCATCTAATAGTAGTTAAATCATCTAAATTGGCCTGGTGGATACTAAAATATCTTTAAAAAATGTTTTGCTAACTATTTAAATTTCTTTGTAAACAATACTATTGTTACAAAAGAACTTAGTATAAAAAAGGTTTTAGTTATGTGTATGCCACATCCGCAAAACCCTAATTTCTATAAATAATTTGCATCATGTTTTACTATAGATCAATTAAAAAAAAAAAAAAAAATTCATGTGTTTCATATAGTAAAAGAACCTAAATAATTTTTTTTATAAAATTTTAAGTATATAGATAACATTATAAGGCCACTTCAATTTAATTTTCTGTTTAATATAACATAAAAGTCGCTTATGAGAGTGGGAGAGGGCATTAAAAAACACAAAAATAAAAAATACAGCAATTCTATTGGCCGTAAAAAATGTAAAAATGCAAAAAAGTTAATACTGCAATGTGATTGGTTAATATTATGTGTGTTTTTTCATGCAAAATTTTAAAAAATAGAGGGAGAAGAGTTATGTTAAACAGAGAATCAAATTGGTCTGGCCTAATTTACATAAAAACACGCAGGAAATGATTAAGTTGTAAGACTTGATTCTTAAATTTGTAATCAAAAAACTTCCATAATCTATATGAAGAATAATTCTTATACATGAATAGATACCGTACACAATAAAGTTAATAATACATGTAAACCGTAAGTAATATGACAAACTAAATAATATATATATATACAACTCTATCTTACAATAAAAATCCAAAATTTTAAAAATGTCCAATTCTAGACATCCATTTTTCCGTCCGACCTCCACCTTCTTCTGATACACATTCGAATTCATCCATTTTTCTCCATTTCCTCCAAAAATGTTCTACCTTATCAATTTCTTCTTCATTAATTCTTTTTAACAAAAATTTTATAACGCCTTTAAATTTTTTATCATATCTATCTGGAAAATGATGAAATAGCCAGTTTCGACGTAAACTAATGTCTGTAAATAAATCTGGAGTGGATTTTTCACACACTATATCTTTAGTATAATATACTAAAGATGATTTCGTAGAAGAACGATAAAGCCCTTTATATAAATAATATATTGTTCCGGGAATATATAACTTTTGACCAGAAGTTGGATTGGATTTTAAAGTTTCGCGATAAGCGTCGATTGTTAAGAACATTTTAGAAAATTTTTCGGATGTTTTTAACTACCATAGTAACAATTAAGAGACAACAAGAGCGAAAATTTGAATAAACAGAAATTTATATAAATATTTATAGGTTAGAAAGATTAATTAAACTTAAAAAGTATTGTTGAGCATATAAAATATTTACATACCTTTTTATATTCACCATTTTTCAATTCATTAGCAGCAAACTTAACCAACTCTTTAAAATCCATTAAATTACCATAACTCAACCTCGGAATAACGTCATTTTCGTTCACAAAATTATAAATATAATTCAAAGTCTCAGGTTTACATGCCAAATCATGAGAACAGCATGGTGCAGTTGCGAAATTCCATGCACGAATATCAATTCCACTTAAAATTAGATCTTTACATTTTTCTCGTAAAAGAAGTGTTACAATAGATGATATAGATGCACCTAGTGAATGACCTATTACTTCTATGGAATCTACATTAAATTTTACTACTGCTGCTTTAATATCATTTAAGGAACGATCTACAAGATATTGCGCACTACGCAATACTCCACGATGAACAAGACCACCATTCCACGGTTCATAACGTGCTAGAGCATCGGTGATTACATCAGCAACATTCTATAAAAAATTTTGATAATTAACAAATAAATTTTTATTTAAAGAAAATATATATATGTATATAAATATTACCATAGTTCCTCGGATAGATACAATAATAGCATTTGTCTCTGGATCTCTAATTATCATGTAACTAGGTACCGAAACTAAATTTTGACCATACTCCCAACAAATGAAATCTTGTTTATCAAGGCCAAAAAAATCCTGTACAATTCTTTTGTCAGAATTCATTCTAATAGCACCTACAATAAAACATTTATATTATATAATAAAGTTAAGAATATACATAATAAATCATATTATAATCAATGACATATAATATTAATAAAAAAAAATTATGTACTTAATGGTGCCATATTATGTCCATATCCGAACCAATGAAACAAAAAAGATCCCTATACGATTAAAAATATGATCAATCCATTTTTCAAATAAACAAATACTTATAGTTGACAAACTTTAATTACTTACATATGATGCCATTGAAAATTTCAAATATCTCTGAGCTTTTTGCATTATATCCACATCGTGGATTAAATTTCCAGTAACCGGACTATTATTAATTATTAAAATAAATATAATGAATGTATGTATATATATATATTTATCTATTGATTAAATGAACAATAAATTTTAGATTTTTATTCACAAAACCTTACTTTGGTTTTTGAGCATAATATTTTTCTAATAGCATATATGCTTCTAAAAATTCCAATTTGGTTAACTTCCATCCATTATCAAAAAACGAATTATAAAGAACTGTAATCTCTTTAATTGCGTCTCTAGTCTCTTGACATAATACCATATCAAGTATGCCAAGGGATCTTACTTCAGGATGCATCAAAAGATTAGAATAATCAAAATCATCAACTTCAACAATTTCAGTAGTGAGATCTCTATCATTAAGAACTGGAGGTGCCGATTTGACACGTATTGCTGGTGGACGAGAATCCACTGGAGTTAGGGGAGGGTCGTTAGGGTAATGGAATTTTATATTTAGTTTGATGGTACCAATTTCCTGCATATGTGGAAATTCCTTAGCCTCAAGTGGAAAAGTTCTATAAATACCATTATGATAAAGTGAATAAATTTGGATAATTTAAAATGAAAATATTCGAAATAAACGAATATACATATATATATAAAGTTACCCTTCAAATTCTTTTTTATTGGTAATGGCATTTTTTAAAGCATTTAATTTTATATAAGCGCGTCCAAGTTTTTTCTTTGTATTTAAGAAGGTCCCATAATCATAAAAGTCTATTTTCATTGAATCAAAAACGAATGAATGATAATCGAAAGGAAAAAGAAACATTTTTTTCATTTGTTCTTCGAGTAAGACACTTGGTTTGGTGTGGTAAATTACTGGATGGATAACGAGGCGAATAGATTTCTTTGCACTAGGATTTGGTTGCCGTAATGGATCAAATTCTAATGATTTAATCTGGACAAGAATTTGGTCTGTTCAAATGAAAAAAGTGATAATAATCACATGAGTTAAATAGAAATAAAATTGTTTTAAGATTTAATATATATACCTGGAATGGGATCTCCGGATACTTAAAAACATATTGATTCATTAATTGAATATTATAGAATTATTGAATTACTACTAGGTGATGAAAGCAAAACATACGGAGTAAATCTGCGTTTGTTGCTATCTGTTCTCCGATTTCTGTTATAAAAAGGTCTTAATAATTAAAATATCATGATAATTCAATTTTTTAAATTGTAGAAATACCTTGACTAAGAACTTTATTAATTGATGTATGACATGAAGTTGTTTCTAACTTTAACCTTACTTTGATGAATATAAGACAAATTAAATGGGGGTGAGACAATAGAAATCAAGCAATTTTTTATAATAAAAAATTTTTATAACTTCAAACAAGAATAACTTAACAAAACCTTGACTAAATTTAATAAAAAATTTTTTAAATAATTTTTACAAACTTGTAGAATTAATTTTAAAAAAAATTTTATTTAAATTTTGATTAAGTTATCCTTGTTAAAAGTTTTAAAAAAATTTATTAAAAAATATTTGCTTGGTTTCTATTGACTCAACCCCAAATATTTACCAATAATCGTAGAATATCCTCGTTAATAAAAGTATGCTTTTAATAAAACAAAATTATTTTTTACAATTAAGACTTACATTTCTTTTGTTCCTCAACGCTAACAGGCCCAATTTTTTGGAGAAGTATATCTTCTTCATATTTGATATTCGTTCCGCTACTCGAATCACCGTTACTGGTAATATAAAGTTCTTCGGTTTCTTTTTTAATGTCTAATTTAACACTTTGCATGTTCTGTCGTTACGAAGTAAAGCTTGAAGTCCACAACACTAGCATAATGCTGCATATAAACGAGATTTTAATTTTATCTCACGTGTATGTACGTACGTACGTATACAAGAATTCTGCAATGCGGCGCATTTGCCGATTACAGAATTCTGCAGTTAAATAGTGTATATCTATTGGTTGTTTTTTTTTACTGCAGAATTTAAGGCGAAGTCCATTGTTACCTGCCAGAAGCTGGTCTAACTCTAGTGGTTTAATGTAATTTTTGAACCCTGAACGGCGTAGAAAGAATTACTTATTTGATTTAAAACATACCAATTGGAGTTAGTAACAATTAATGAATTTTTAATTACGACTTTAAAAAGCGTTGTTCGTGACATCATATGATATTAATCTATTCGATGATATATTTTTATATCGGAACTAGTTTTTGGACCAGTTCTGTTCTGAACTAGTCTCGGTTCAGACCAGGTCCAAACCCGTGGACCACTTAATAACCCTAGCTATAAAATTCTTAAGTGCGGACACCCTAGTACGTTAATGTTGCGGAAAATTATAATCAGTTGAAATACTTTTTATAAAAAAATTTTTACGCGTTATTTATTTTTGTCATATCGGCGGATTTTTCGGAATTGGCCAAATTAAGGTCTATAGATTTTAACAATGCGATTGTAAAGCCGACCCAAAAATTTCAGCTATTGTGCATTCTGCAACTGTTAAATCCAGGGACCCTAATTTAGATTCAATTCCGCAAATCTGCAGATATGTTGCTACTGTTCGAAGAGGTCATAATACGTAATTCATCCAATTTAGCACCAGTCTACCTTCTTTATGCGATAATGTAAGGATCGTTGAGGATATTAATACGTAATGATAGATACACGACTCATTCGCGCTAAAACCAATAACGTAAATTAGATTTTTAATCATAACAAGAATGTAATTGTATGGAGTCCAAAAAACTAGTGTATTTCAATCAATAATAAAGGTTACTGCATTAGGGTGATTCAATCCTAATGTTCATGGGCACCTGGAAAATGTGTACCGGGTTGAGACCGGATGAAGCTAGATCGGAATGGTATAATATTCGGAACTAGAAACAAAAATTACTTAAATACATACGTACGTTGTCTAGCTAATAAAATAAAATTATTTATTGTCATTAGTTTATCATTATTTAAATTATAATAAT